CATGAGGAGGAAGGTTGCACAGGGGTGCCAGGTTGCACAAGGAGGATGGTTGCACGGAGGTGCCAGGTTGCATGAGGAGGGAGGTTGCACCAGGAGGGAGGTTGCACGGGGTGCCAGGTTGCATGAGGAGGGAGGTTGCACGGGGGTGCCCGGTTGCACGAGGAGGATGGTTGCACGGGGGTGCCAAGGTGCTCATGACGGCAGGCTGCCAGTAGGGTGGACACACGATTCTCCGCTGCCTCGCGGCACCCGTGTTCCCCATGTGCCATCTGGGTTCCTAGCACTGCCCCGTCCGCCCGCCAGGATCTGCCCCCGCGTTCCAGGGGCTGGCTCCCGTTGCCCCCCGTGGGCAGGTCAGGGCCTGGCGCCCCCTGTGGCCTGTTCCAGTGCAGCAAATGACCTGCCTCAGTTTCCCCTCCCAAGCCCTTTGGCTTCTCAGTGCCCGCCAGGTCGGGCAGTGTCTCTCCCGCTGAGCCGGGCGGGTTGGGGGTGACGCTGGCCTGACCCCCCCACCCCAGGGCAGCCCCCTGACGGTGTCTCTCTCCCCAGACGCGGGGGGCCGGGCGGAGCAGCTGGGGCTGATCGTGGGGGCGGCCGCCGTGGGGGCCCTGCTGGTGCTGGCAGTGGTGGCAGTGGCTGTTATCTGTGTCAGGTGAGATCCCCCCCAGCGCGCAAGGGGTTGGGGGTGGGCGCTTGGGGGACAGGGAGGGGCCGGGGGGGTGGAGAGATGGGGCTGGGCTGGGTTCAGCCACGTTCTCCCCAGAGGGAGTTCCGGGGGGGTCTCTTGGCCGCCCCCCCCGACTCTTTCTCCCTCCCCCGGCAGGAAGCACGGGGCGGGGGGCCGCGACCCTGAATACTCGGACAAACACGGCCAGTACCTCATTGGGCATGGTGAGTGGGGGGGGCAGGGAGTGAGTGGGGGGCAGGGGGTGAATGGGAGATGGAGGAGTGACGGGGCAGGGAAGAGGGGTGAGGTGAGGGGGTGGGTTTGGGGGTTGGCGGGGGTGAGTGGGGGCAGGGCGGGGGGGTGAGGGTGAGTGGGGGAGCAGGGGGTGAATGGGGGCAGGGGATGAGTGGGGAGACGGAGGAGCGAGGGGGCAAGGAAGAGGGGTGGGGTGAGGGGTTGTGAATGCGGGGCAGGGCAGGGTGTGCGAGTGGGGAGGCGGGGTTAGTGGGGGGCAGGGCAGGGGGTGAGTGGGGGGCAGAAGGAGGGGGTGCGGGTGAATGGGGGGAGTGGGGAGACGGAGGAGCAAGGGTCAGGGAAGAGAGGTGGGGTGGGAGGATGGGTTCGGGGGTTGGCAGGGGTGAGTAGGGGGCAGGGCGGGGAGGCAAGTGGGGGGGCAGAAGGACGGGGTGGGGGTGAGTGGGGGCAGAGCAGGGGGCGAGTGGGGGGCAGGGGTGAATGGGGAGGCAGAAGGGAGGGGGAGACGGAGCGAGGGGGCAGGGAAGAGGGGTGGGGTTGGGGGGTGAGTGAGGGGCAGGGCGGAGGGGCGAGTGGGGGGACAGAAGGAGGGGGTGGGGGTGAGTGGCCGGCGGGGGCGGGTCTGGGGGCGCTCGGCTCTAACCGTCGTCCCCCCCCCCGGGACCCCCCCTTCCCAGGCACCAAACTCTACATCGACCCCTTCACCTACGAGGACCCCAACGAGGCCGTGCGGGAATTCGCCAAAGAGATCGACGTCTCGTACGTCAAAATAGAGGAGGTGATCGGCGCCGGTGAGCCCCAAACCCCTGAACCCCCAAACAGGCCCCTGAACCCCCAAACTGGCCCCTGAACTCCCAAACCCCCGGAATTGTCTCTGAGCCCCCAAATTCACGGCTTCTGCTCCCCCAAATCCATCGCCCCTGCAACTGGGGTCCCAGGGGGGCAGGGGGCCCACGCTGCGGTTGCTCAACTGAGGGCAACCCCCCAAAAACGGGCCGTTATTTCGAATAATTCGATCCACCCAGTTACCCAGATGCCAAACACGCAGGTCCCTGAAAGCGCCCCCAGCCTTTGGGCTCTGCGCCCGGCCGGGCCGCGTCAAGAACAGGAAGGACGATTGGAAATCTGGTTCGTCTTCTAAAATGTTTCTCTCTCTCTCTGTTTCATTCCCCCCTTTCTCTCTGTCTCCACCCACTTTTTCATTCCCTCTTTCACCCGTCTTGTTTTTGCTTTCTCTGTTTCATTCCCTTTTCCTTTCCCCTTTCTCTCTCTCTCATTCTTTCACTCTGTTTCGTTCCCCCTTTTTCTCTGTCCCATCTCACTGTTGTATTCCTTCTTTCTCCCCGCCTTCTTCTTTCTCTGTTGCATTCCTCCTTCCTCTCTGTTTTCTTCCCCCTTTTTCTCTGTCTCATGTTTCATTCCCTCTTTCCCCATCTCACTTTCTTTCTCCCCGTTTCGTTCCTCCTTTCTCTCTGTATCATTCTCTTTCACTCTCCGTTTCGTTCCCCCCTTTCTCTCTGTCTCAACCCACTGTTTCATTCCCTCTTTCTCCCCGCCTGGCCCCGTTCTCTCGGCAGGGGAGTTCGGGGAGGTGTGCCGGGGCCGGCTGAAGGTGCCTGGAAAGAAGGAGAGCTGCGTGGCCATCAAGACGCTGAAGGGGGGGTACACGGAGCGGCAGCGCCGGGAGTTCCTCAGCGAGGCCAGCATCATGGGGCAGTTCGAGCACCCCAACATCATCCGGCTGGAGGGGGTGGTGACCAGCAGCACCCCGGTTATGATCCTCACCGAGTTCATGGAGAACGGGGCGCTCGACTCCTTCCTGCGGGTACGGGGACCCCAGTACGGGGGGAGGGACCCCAAAAACCCCACCACACCCCCAAACCACCCAGGCCATGGAGAATGGGGCGCTCGACTCCTTCCTCTGGGCATGGGGGACCCCAGTTCTGGGGGAGGGACCCCAAAAACCCACCACACCCCCAAACCACCCAGGCCATGGAGAACAGGGCGCTCGACTCCTTCCTCCGGGCATGGGGGACCCCAGTACTGGGGGAGGGACCCTAAAACCCCCAGACACCCCCAAACCACCCAGGCCATGGAGAATGGGGCCCTCAGGAGACCCCAAAATACAGGGCAGGGGCCCCTGAAATACAGGGGGGAACCCAAAAGCCCCCACATGCTGAGCCCCCTCCCCTCTGTAGCAGTGCCAAGGTGTGAGCCCGCCTCCCACCTCTTCTGGCCCCGCCCCCACCCCCCTGGGGTCCTGCCCTACCCCCTGGGACCCCGCCCCTGTCCTTGTGAGCCCACCTCCTGAGGTCCCACCCCTGGTTCTGTTGCCACGCCCCCACTCCCTGGGACCCTGCCCCTTTAGCCCTTCCCCCTGGGGTCCCATCTCTGCCCCTGTGACCCCACCCCCATGCCCTGGGGTCCCGCCCCTGTTTCCGTAGCCCCGCCCCTGTCCCTGTAGCCCCACCTCCAACCCCAGGGCCCCACCCCTGCCTCTATGACCCGACCCCCAAGTCCTGCCCCCAGGGCCCCGCCCTGCCTCTGAGCCACGCCCCCTCTGGTGGCTCCCCCGCAAACTGCGCTGACCCCGCCCCCATCTCCCCCCCAGCTGAACGAGGGGCAGTTCGCGCCCATCCAGCTGGTGGGGATGCTGCGGGGCATCGCCTCGGGGATGCGCTACCTGGCCGAGATGAGCTACGTCCACCGGGACCTGGCCGCCCGAAACATCCTGGTCAACTGCAACCTGGTCTGCAAAGTCTCCGACTTCGGCCTCTCCCGCTTCCTGGAAGAGAACTCCTCCGACCCCACCTACACCAGCTCCCTGGTACGGCCCGGACGCCGGGGTTCTCGCCTGCCTCCTGGGTTCTCTCCCTGGCTCTGGGAGGGGAGTGGGGGCTGGTGGGTGAGAGCAGGGGGGCTGGGAGCCAGGACTTCTGGATTCTCTCCCCGGTTCTGGGAGGGGAGTGGGGGCTGGGGGGTTAGAGCAGGGGGGGCTGGGAGCCAGGACTCCTGGGTTCTCCCTGGTTCTGGGAGGGGTCTGGGGGCTGAGTGGGGGGGAGGACTGGAAGCCGGGACTCTCTCACCCTCCTCATCCCCAGGGCGGGAAGATCCCCATTCGCTGGACAGCCCCCGAGGCCATCGCTTTCCGCAAGTTCACCTCGGCCAGCGACGCCTGGAGCTACGGGATCGTCATGTGGGAGGTGATGTCCTTCGGGGAGCGGCCCTACTGGGACATGTCCAACCAGGACGTGAGTACGCCCCCCCCCCCTGAGCCTGCCCCCCCTTGCCCTGGGCTGGGTCAGAGCCGTTCTGGGTGGCTGTTAACCAGCCGCCCCGCCCCAGAGGTGGTTGCATCTCAGCGCCGGGTGAGGGGTCCCCGGGTAACCAGCCGCCCCGCACCAGAGGTGGCTGCATCTCAGCGCCGGGCAAGAGGTCCCCGTCGAGGCCCCACCCCCCACCCGCAGCTGGGTCTGAGCCGCGCCGTCCTCGCAGGTGATCAACGCCATCGAGCAGGACTACCGGCTGCCCCCCCCACCCGCCTGCCCCACGGCGCTGCACCAGCTCATGCTGGATTGCTGGCAGAAGGAACGAAGCTCCCGGCCCCGCTTCGCCCAGCTCGTCAGCTCCCTCGACAAGCTGATCCGCAACCCGGCCAGTCTGCGCATCGTCGCTCGGGACGGCGCCGGGTGAGTCCTGTCACGGAGTATGGGGGGACTCAGGGCCCTGCACCCCCGGCGTCCT